GGTTTTCTTTTGCTTTTGTATTTACTGCAAGTTCCTTTCTGTATGAAAATAATGCCAGCTGATCAGGAGATGGCATTGATATGAAAATAAGAGATTATTTTACCAACCTCCTGTAGGTAAATTTACCACCACAAAATGTATTTTCCATCAGGCAGTCTGCAGATTAAAGCCCGTTTCTGACTGTCAAACTCTCATATGGTTCAAACAATACTTCCGTGCCTTAGTAATGAAACCAGTCATACATAATAAGAGCCACATGTTTTCAGGTATTGTTTCCAGGCAACACAGGTGCATTAAATGTCTATAAATAGTCCAAGTTTCTGTATGAAAAGCTAGAAAAATAAATAGATAACCCCGAAGCTCTTTGTGGATGTGCTATTTTTAGTTCCTGCTGATGATTGGAGGAGCTAAAAATACATCTCTTGTCGTTCTCTTCATCCTGACAGTGAGTGTTGAACACAAGTTGTAATGGGAACACATTTTTTCACTCCACAAATCATCCTGCAGTAGGATGATGACATGCATCACGCCATGGCTTTGCACAGATGTCTGCTCATTTTTGTGCACCTTTCACTCACTCCAGCCCCCTAGTAACAGACTCCTGTGGAGGATCACGTTGCTAATTGTAAATAATTAGGACTAAAAACCATTTTCTGCAATCACGATGCATTTTGTGTGCATTGAAATACTAAATGAAATGTATGGCAAGATGCTGAGCAACATATTTGTGTCAATGAATCTTATTCTTAGACAAGACAAAACTTTAGGGTTCTTTTACAGGTGAAACATAAATAAACCTTAAAAGTATAGTGGAGGATTTTTACGAATTTTAAAAAACACCCGCCCTCTCCATTTTTTAAAATAAAAATGCACATGCACAACCCTGTACCCACTCCAAAGAGGGGACGTCCATTAAATGCTTGAGAGAGCGTGCACAAGCCCATTTCTCCTCATGCACGCTCCGTTTAAAAGTTGCTGTTTGCATCGCCCTTTACAAGCTTACTTTCCAAAAGAAGATTTTCAGTTTTTCCACTATGTCAGACCCACCAGCTGTAAGTGACCTCTACTATACCTTCAATGGCTAATTAGCCAAAATAAGCAAAGCTGAATCGTATGTATTCAGGTCTGCCTTCCACTGTTGTGAACTTTAATCTACTTTAGCAGATTTTTTTTTTCTGGATCAAATCAACATGTCTCACAGATCAATATAACATCTCATTCCTGCAGCCAGGGCCTGAGCTTCACTATCATGTTACCTTCACAGGTGGAAAAAATAAAATAGAAAATCTCATGTTAAAAAGAGACTCCTTAATAGAAGTACAAAATAGATTAAAGTTTTTACCTTAAATTGTGTACAATAAAATAAAAACTATTAAGAAACAGCTTTATGTACAGAAAGTAGGTTAATTTTCCTGTTTTGCTCACCGTGTTGGTAGAGAGTAGGGCTGGGAGATTAACTGCATTTTGCAATATAATCGCACTTTAACAGAACTTCAGTTTTAGATCGCAGAGGCACTCAATTTGAAATTACATTTAACATCAGTAAGACACCATTTCCCACTGGCTGCAGTGAGGCTGCAGGAACACTTAAAGCAGGCTTACCGCCACACATAAGGAAGAAGAGAATTGCAGAAGATCCATGCATGTAAGTGGAAATGGGTACTTTTGCATGCAAAGTATACAATACATCCTATAACAATGGAATCTGGACAAGGAAGCTTTCAAGGTCACAAAAAAAAATAAAAAAAACGGAAACCCTGAAATTAGTTTTCTAAGAGGTTTTGATACAAGTGCGAAGATAAACCCAAATAATCGTAATATTGGTGAAAAATATTTGCAATTTTGATTTTTTTTTTAGCAAAAATCATACTGTGTGAGAGAACATAAACTTTACTCTGTCCAGTTTTGTTTTAAAAAGACCTTTCAGACTGCATAAATAGATTGAACTGCATATAAGTTCTACATAAGCAGCTACAGAGCTCTGGTTTTCACAGCATTAAAGTTACAAATAGCTCTGATTTCAAATATTCTTTGAAACATAATCAACATCTAGGTTTAAAATCTAATTAAGAGGTGAAGAATTGGAAATGTTTTATTACAATCTGTTCCATCATTTGCAATGATTCCATCCCCCCCATCTCCATCCATGTCAGAGTCTTTATAACTTAACTGGGCTCCATCTGGTCAGATTCTTCTTGTGTTTTTGTTTTTTTATGTCTTTATCAATTGGTACAGAAGTAATGAGCCGATTTTCAGAAAGTAAGGAGAAGCAAGTACAGATATTTGTGTTCAAATATAATAAGAAATGTTCAGAAAAAATAAAATAAAAATACTTGAGTAGATGAAAATAGTATTTATCCTTTGTTACTTTATACGTATGAAATGAATCCTATTTGAAATTCAAAAATCATTGAGTTGATTTTAATTTAATCTGAACTTTTAATATTAATTGTTCATGGTGTAAAAAATTTGAATATAAATCCATTAGAACAGGTATCAGGCACTATTTCATCATGTATAATGTCTGGTATCAAATTTTGTGTTATTTTTAACTTCATTTTGAAATTTTGGCTATAAAACACAAAACTAAGCCAAACAAACAAACAAACTCAGGCTTCTGAGAGAATCATAAACCATTAACGAATTTATTTCCTTTTTATTTGGGCAAATCTCCAAAGCATCTGGTAAATAGTTATCTGAATCAGTTATAGTAGTGGCTGGATTAGACCTGGAATAAAAAATAGAACTTGTATTGTTTTTGTGGCTGAAACAATCAGATTAATTTTGATTTGCAAATTAATAATCACTAACTGGAGTAAAGTGACTCTAGTTTAAACAGCACCCCACCCAGAGCCCTCATCATAATAAACAATTATATCAAAATTGTAATTGTAATTTGTAAATTGTGTATTGTTCTTTTTAAATTCAAGATGTAAAACCTTTTCTTATCGGTGAATAAGTTTTATCCAGATATGCACAAGTGACTTTGTTTTAGATTCACTTGTTTACATTCATTGTAAAATTGCCCTAACTGAATTATTTGTATTCGTTTCGTTTTGCTTTAATCTGGAAAAAAAAAATCCTAATTTCCTTATTCCTATTATACATATGTTTGCATCACCAAACAATAATTTAACTGTCATTTTATTTCAAAAAATGCATCAATAGAATAACCTATTAACAAATTATCATTATCATTAGTTGCAGCCCTGATAGTTTTTTTTTTCTTTTAATTATAATTTTGTAGATTTATATTTAGTTCTTTAAATTTGAATTTTTTTAAATAACACTTTATCTCTCATGATAAATACTTTATGACATGTTTTTTATATATATTAATAGGCCTAAAGCTAATGATTTAAGGAAATAAAAGAATGAAAAATACCTTTAATGTTCCTTTTGTTGCCTAAACATTACCATTGAATCAGCAAAGCATTTTTCTCAAAGCGCAGGTTCTGTAAATAAATCCTATAACTTTGTCAGGTTCAGGATTACAATTTATTTATTACTAATGATTCTCCATTGTTGAGGCAAATTAAATTAAATGCTTCCTGAACAAAAAACATTCATCCTTTTTGCAGTTTTTTTCCACTTTATCATCCTGTAATTGCTCTCTTTGAAAGTCTGATTATCTCCCTCAGACATTCATGGACAAGGAAAGCTTCTGTGCTGCAGAGTCATCAGCAGAAGCCAGAGACCTTTTAACTGACTTGCTTAAGGCGCTGCGGTCTCACTCTTAAAAAAAAAAAAATCAGAGGGAAGCAGATTTGACAGCCGAGTGTCGGATAGATTTAGGAGGGTAAACATTTAAGATTTACTGCTCAGGACCATCAATGCTGCAGCGAACGCGTCATAAACCAGGATAAATAAAGGAGAAGTAGAAGCGTTGGGTCATCAGTTTGGGCCTGAGGTGAATATAGTCAGAGCAAAAGGTCCCGAAACATGGGACAAAAACTCTGCAGACTGACATAAGGGATAAAGCTCTTTATGTTACGCAACTCTCAATGAATAACTGTCAAACAGGGGTGAAAATATGAAAAAGAAAATGGTAAATTTTATGGAAAAGGACATAAAGCGTGTACTTACAAATACTTTAGTTATTATTTTTTAGCTGAATCAAAATTGTTAAATTTACACGAGTAGTAGTGCTTGTGACTACAGCACCATCATGTTTTTCAGTCCGTCATCGAGTCTTTAAAGTGGTCCGTTACAGATGTACAAACTTTAGATTAGAGCTGAAGCAATTAATCATGAGTAATCGAATCTTGAAATAATAGACAACTTATTTAGATTTTATATATATATATATATATATATATATATATATATATATATATATATATATATATATATATAAATATAGGATAGGACCTGTTCATTAACTCATGGGGTTCTTCCTCATTTTGATTGTCTTTCATCACACAGTAAATATTAATTGCCTGTTTTCCAGCCGCTTTGGACGTTATTATCCCAATAAATGGTCATCATTAGCGCTCATTAGTCCCATAGAATGGCTTCAGATTGTGCCAGTAAGCTCATGTCGCTCATATTATACAAACTAAAAACAAATAGAACTCATATTCTGTCAACAGCCAATCGTCTCCCGTTCAAAATATTTAATTGTGTGGAAAAATGCAGATTGTTCTTTAATAAGATCTCATCAATGCATAAAACTATGCAGAAAACAGAGTAAATAAGGAAAAAAAAAAAATGGTGATTGGCTTTAAGTAGAGTGGAGCCCGAGGAGACTGAGTTTACTGAAGAAAACCTGCTCCAGACCACGTTAGCTCTGGGGAGAAAGTTACTATGGTAACTAAAACAGAGGTTGAGGAAACTCTCTTTGTGAAAAGGAAAAAAAAAAGTTTCCCTGATTTCAGGTTTGGAAAACTGAGTTTTCAGTAAAACTGATTTGTGAAACGGACCCCTGATGTCTAAACCTTACATGCAACACAGCTCCTGAAACCAAATCAGCATGATGACAGGTCGTTCTCTGTTCTCACCTCATCTGATCCTGAGCCAAAGATGAGCAGGTCAAATGGGATGGCCGCCACCATGTCTATGAGGAACCAGCCTTTAAAGTAATGGATGGCAATCTTGGCTGGATGGCTGACTACTTCCTCGTTGGAGTTGACGTAAGTGGTTCGAAAGTTTATTAGGATGTCAACTATAAACATAATGTCCACCATCAGATCGACCACGTTCAGCGGAGAACATGAGTAGCCGCAGAGCCGCCTTTTCCTCTCCTCCAGGTCGTTGAGGAGAAAGGCAGCGGAGTACGGAGTGAAAATAGCGGTGTAGATGACCAACAGCAGGATGAGCCAGTCCCACACTGCTTTGAAAGGGCTGTAATGGAGGATGGTCCATTTGTCTATACGTGGAGTCTGCAGTTTATATTCAGGCAGCACATCTGCACCCAGGGAAAGAACCTGCAGGAAAACACATTTATCAATTTAGTGTAATATGTTATTAAAATAGATTAATTTCACCAACATTTCACTGGATTTAATTACATTTTTAATGATTGACAGGTAATTACAAAAACGAAGATTAGTTTAAAAAAGACATTTTATAAAAAGATTAAAAACATTGAGGAATATGGCAGGAAGTTTGCAGTTTTTATGTAAATTAACATCATCTGGCAAGTGAATGATAACCTTATGTAGCAGACTCTAAGCATGATTTCCCTTTCATACATCATTCATCCTTAAGTATTTAAAAATATTCAAAGCAAGGCTGTAACAGTTACAACAATGACCTTCCATGTATTTTATTGGATTTCTATAAGTACTGCATTATTTTCAATGAACAGGAGTGGATACAAGTCTAAAAGAAGAGGATATACATTTTAATTATGGTCATTTTTACTTCTTATTGGCTCTCAATCAGACTTCATGGAATGCTGTCACATTTTTAAAAGATTTTAGAGGAATAAAACCAATGTCACTTTAAAATAAATTGCTTAAATTAAAATAATTACTTTTTTTCTGAGAGGTAGTTCTAAATGTAGATTTTTAATGAAAGAATGTAGAAAAAAAACTAAATTTGTGGGGGAAAAAAAGAGAATAAAATATCTATAATTCAGAGATTTAATATGAAGAGAAGTCGACCAACATTGATTACCATCTTTCCCTGTCAAAAAAAAAAAATCAAAAATCAAAATTGGATTAAATTTTTCACATTATGAAAATCTCCTATCGTATCCATTTGGTAAAATTTCAAATGTTCATTAATTTATATATCCAGAGTAGGTTTGTGGTCTGATAACCCTTATTGGTAACATCTTTATACTTGAAATAGATGGTATATTCATTATTTCAGGGTATAGAACCAATATAAAAAGTTTTACTCTGTAAAGGAATTGTATATCTTAAAGGGTTATTTATCCATTTATGATGACAGGTATTCTGATTTGCACCGTTT